TATTCGTCGCGTAGGCGTGGACCGAACTGGGAGAATAGCTCGTCGGACGCCGGTCGGAACTGCTGGAACCTGGTAAAGTGTTCAAATGGTGATAGACCAAACCTGGTTTTGAGCTTTTCCGCGATGACGTCGTAGTCCTCGAATCCTTGGTCATATAGGAGTTGTGCTGCTTCCGCTACTTTCGGCTGGGAGTGCCCGATTAGACAGTTGACTCGCGTGAAGTTCGGCGTTCCGTTGTGTTTGAAGGCGGTGTCCAGGCGTCGTAGATACATTTTGATGCTTTCGTTGGGCGACTGATGCGGGTAGTCTACGCGTCTGCGCAGCAACGACCGTGCTAGCAGTTCTGTCGATCCTGGTCCCGTTTGATAGTCCGGCGGTGAGCCGAGGATGATATTGAGTGGCGTTGCGCCTCTGGCTTGGAGTGCGCTGATAAGTTCATTGCATGGCACTTCGTTAGCGTTGGGAATGCCGTTCGCTGTCGCGTAAGTACGTATGGCGTTTAGCATGAGAAAATTCCATGGATTGGCTGTCGCCCGTGGTTGCGATGACGCTACCGGTTGTGGTGACGCGTTCGCGTTAGAAGGTCCCGGTTGGGGTTCACTTTCAGTACGGTCACTGTTCATGGCGGGTCGTTGTCGGTCGGCTGAGCCCCCAGTAAGATTTCTCCACAGTCACACTAGGATAAGTTGGACTTGGAATAACTTGACACCAATATCAGAATACTGAAGTCTATTCACATAAGTATACTGTCGCACACATAAAACAGAGGTCCGCACTCTTCGGAGGTTCGAGGTAGAATGGGGCTTGGCGTGCCCCTCGTTACACAAGATGGCCGGTCGCTGGCGCGCAGGCCGTTGCGCCGGCATACCCTGATTGGGTACGAGATCTGAACGAAGCTCGATTCGAATACGCGTTTGTACAAGTTGCGCGGGACTAATGGCCGCTGGCCATTACTAAATCCAGATTGGATGATGCACAATAAGATCGACGTATAGCACGTATCTTCCAAAGAACAATAGTTTTCCGCGTCGGACATGATGGTACTTGCGAGCATCCATATGTACAGTATCGCTCCCAACCCCCGATTCGCAATATTATATCACCTGGGAAGATTTCAATGAAATTCGCATGCTCGCGCGCGCGAACGAAGTCGAGTGCAGTATAACCGTTACGAACATTGCGCATGTGAATACAGTATATGTTATCCGTATTCTTGTACACAGTTTATCACATATTAAGACCAATATATGGCATGGTTTTTAAAAATTTAGGATAGACAGTATACAGTATATAGTGAGAGTCTACCTAACAATGAATTTCACACTTGGTAAATGGGATAATTACAAGTTGGGCACTTGTACAGGAGAGGTGACCCACCGAAAAATCCACGCGCGCCGCCATGACTTTTGACACTCTCGCCATCTATGAACAGAACATTGAACAATGAATCTCTCAAGCAACACTGGCCAGACTCCCATATACAGTTCTGTACTCCTCTGCGTTAGGATGCAAGTTCACAATCACCATGAAACTTCAGGCCTCCTGCTGGTAGAAACTTCAGGCAGGCCTCCTGCTAGTATAGAAACCTAATCTCCCTCGCTGCTATAGTAGAAACCAAATATCCCTTCTTGTAGAAACTTCAGGTCTCTCTTCTTATAGAAACATAAAAGATCCCTTCTTGTAGAAACTTCAAAGATCCCTTCTTGTAGAAACTTCAAATATCCCTTCTTGTAGAAACTTCAAATAACCCTTATCTCGTAGGAACTACAGATCCCTTCTTGTAGAAACTTCAAATACCCCTTCTTGTAGAAACTTCAAATATCCCTTCTTGTAGAAACTTCCAATATCCCTTCTTGTAGAAACTTCACATATCCCTTCTCATAGAAACTTCAAAGATCCCTTCTCGTAGAAACTTCAAATATCCCTTATCTTGTAGAAACTTCAAATATCCCTTATCTCGTAGAAACTTCAAATATCCCTTATCTTGTAGAAACTTCAAATATCCCTTCTTGTAGAAACTTCAGATCCCTTCTTGTAGAAACTTCAAATACCCCTTCTTGCAGAAACTTTAAATATCCCTTCTTGTAGAAACTTCAAATACCCCTTCTTGCAGAAACTTTAAATATCCCTTCTTGCAGAAACTTTACATATCCCTTCTTGTAGAAACTCAATATCTCTTCTTGTAGAAACTTAATATCCCTTCTTGTAGAAACTTCTAGTCTCTCTTATAGTGGAAACTTCACATATCTCATCTAGTAGTCTCTCTTGGTAGAAACTTCTGGCCAGCTATGCATAGAACATTCCTCTGCATTATGACACAAGTTCACAATCACAACAAATTCCTTGGCATTCTGCTGAAACTGACTTTGGAGGCAGTTAGGTAAAGTTAGGTTAGGTTAGTTTATGATAGTTAAAAGATATTTTTAACCATCATAAACTAACCTAACTTAACTTTACCTAACCGCCTCCAAAGTCAGTTTCAGCAGAATCCCACAGAAAAGATAAACTGACTTTGGGGGGCAGTTAGGTAAAGTTAGGTTAGGTTGGTTTATGTTGGTTAAAAATATCTTTTAACTATCATAAACTAACCTAACCTAACTTTACCTAACCGCCTCCAAAGTTGGTTTCTGCAGAATGCCAAGGAATGGATGAAAAGTTGCTCATAATTTGTTGCAATTATGAACTTGCATCATGATTATGAACGCGCGTCCTATACTGTATCTGGGAGTCTGGCCAGGGTTGCTGGAGAAGAGGGTTTAAACTATAGGGGATTCATTTTGCCGGTAGATGTCACGTTTGTATGACGCGCGTGGATTTTTCGGTGGGTCACCTCTCGTGTACAAGTGCCGGAATATGAAAGTCGCGTGTGCGTACACACTCCCGTAAACCATTCCATTAACCGTGTCTGCACATACTTCCTAGAAGGATATATGAGTCAGGAAGTACTTTCGGGGGCCATCGGGTTCGCCAATCGAAGCAGTCTTTTTGTTAGGAAGTGAAGCTCTGCGAGTTCAGGGACGTCTATCTGCTCTGAATTCCCGGCGCGGAACGATTTGTGAAAGAACTCTCTCTTTCTGTAGTGCAGAACTTCAGACATAGCAAGTGAAAAAAAAGCGGAAATTTCCGTAGTTCCGTGAATACAGTATATGTAAAAATCGCCGTTTTGTTTGATTTCCATCTTAAGATTAGGGTTAGCTGAGTTCAGTATGAGGTTATTTTCAAAATTTCATTCGACCCGATCAAGTAACATACCTGTCAATTTATGTGACGGAACGAATTCGCGAATCCCTTCCGAGTGACCATGGGTTTTAGCTTCCGTCAAACTTTTAATGTACTGTACGTGTAGATTGATTAATACTGTACTGTACTGAATTTCACGTTTAAGTTACTTAATACTCCACTGTTTTTCCGTTGTTATAATCTGTTGCGCACGTTGCGTCAATGGAAAAATCGCGCATGTTGTAGAGTTCACCTCAATACAGTACTTCGAATGTTCTACGAGTTTTTACATGTCGGGGTTCATATTCGTGTAAATTCATCTTTGATTTGATTCAAATACATTTCCAGATATCCTGTGATTTTCGTGCGAAGATGCGGAGAGGACGACCGCCTGGACGAGTGGCGACAAGTTCTCAGCAACCTAAAGAGGAGTACGTAGTTGAGCGTATTATTGATCGGAGATACAGGAATGGGAAAAAGGAGTATTTTCTTTCATGGAAAGGTTACCCTCCGTAAGTACGAAACCGTCGTGTTCATTTCATCGTAAATGTTTCAGGTGCAAATATGATATTGCGATGATGAAAATGTTTTCGTTAAAAGTATTTCTAGCATTCTGATTTGGTTTGCAGCGAGTACGATTCATGGGAACCAGAAGACAATTTGGACTGTCCTGATTTGGTCGCTCAGTTCGAAGTGGCGCGTGCGCAGAATCAGCAAACAAACGAAAAAGATGAAGCCCTGGATAAACTGAATGATCCATCTCCAGGCATTCGTCGAATTCGAGGATTTTCGGAAGGCTGGAAGCCCGAAAAAATTTTGGCAGCATCCAAATACGAGGGAGACCTTATTTTCCTAATGAAATGGGAAGGCCACGACGAGACTGAACTTGTTCCTGCGAAAGTTTGCAATCACAAGTGTCCGCAAGTCGTAATAAATTTTTATCAAGAGCGTCTCACGTGGCATACGTCTAGCTCTGATGAGCAAACTGAATGAGTGTTCAAAGTTGATTGTGAATGCAGTTTCATACTTTCCAAGTTTTTACGTGAATCGAACGTACTCTTTACGGTACTTGATTTGTTGATTTTCTGTTATACACCTGCTTGATGAAGGCGATTGTTTGTGGAGAGTCGAACCAGTGTCGTCTCAATGTCAGATATGATCGGAACTGATCTGAATTGTGCTACGAAACTTCATAAAATCTATACGGCACTCGTTGGTTTGCTACAACGTTGAATCACGAACTCCGGACGCTGGGTGTATAACCGAAAATAACCACTTCGTTCATTTTGTCTATGCGTGAGCTTTGAAAGCAATAGCTCTTTTTTCTTTCAGATTATTTATCGACGAGAAGTGTTAAATGGCATGCTATTCTGGTGGTTATTCTAAATGCGTTCAAAGCCGAATATCATTTACGGGACTTCCCTTGGAGATGGTACGGAAAGTACTGCAGAGCCTCAGTTATGAAGAAATATCACGTCTTAGAGAGGTCAGTGGGATCATGAGGAAGAGTGTTAGGGAGTAACAAGACAGGCCATTGTGGTCATTTTATTATTGTGAAGCTTTCCTCCCTTTTTTTCTAAAAAAAAAAAAAAAAAGAAGTCAACGACTTGTTTAGCATCCGAACCAAGTCCGCAGTTATTTTTCCATGCCAAAATTGATAATGTCTCATGTCAGTTCACAGTGAGTTACTAATAGTGCAACACGTTTCGATTTGCCTTCTAGACGATGTCTTGACTTAAGACCTTTGCCACCTTACCACGATTACAAATATATTGAAAACAGGATCGATGCATCTGATTCAGATGCATCGTAATTGACGGAATCAGTATGGAAGAGAAAGAAAGTATGTGGCAAGGTTTTAACGGGTAGTTTTTTTTTTTTTTTTCAAATAAGGATGGTCGTACTTATTTTGCTCGAGCAGTAAATAGATTTTTTTATGAAAATCATCCATCAAGACTCGGTTTTCCTATGTTTTTTAGATGACAGCTTCAACTGGGGCGGGAAAGGGTTCCAATCTGCACCAAGTACTGTAACTCTTGTTGATCTCCTTCCTTATTGCTTATCACAGGTGAACAGGATGTTCAATTCCGTTTGTGGCGATATTCTCACGGCCGGATTGCAAAAGGTGTCCGACAGGCTCGAATCCCTGTTGAGAGAAATAAAGCACCAGCTTCCTAAGCGGGAATCAGGTCGAATGAATCATCCTTTGGCTGAACACCTCAGAATGCTAAACGTGCTGGACTCCAGAATAACCTTCCTCAAGATGACTTACAGACGATTCATGGAAGCAAACCTGTGCCCATTCATCCCAGGAAAGGTAGGAAGTTCGCATTGAAAGCTCTCATCAAGTCTACCATAGCATATTTCCGCAGGTTTTAGATGAAATGGTTTTCGTGTTGGACATGGTGGGTACTAAAAAGAAGCTAGTTGCCGCGGATAAAGTGATGGATTCGCTTCGGGATTATTCGTCCATGGCAATAGAGCATTTTGAAGACGAAATAGCTCCCATCTTCACCTCTGAACAGAAAGATCTCGACGTTTGTACGAGCGTTCAGAAAAAGTGCAAATATGGTGGGTGTAATTTATTCGTCGTATGTGTCAGATTGGAAGGGTCGAGACATTTTTTTTTCTGATACGAGCTCTTCGAACTCGGAGATGAAAGAACGAATTTGGTATTCATCTTCTGTAACTCGAGTAAATCCCAGTGAAGAATTTTAAAACCTCCTTTACGTATCGTCTCACTTTCGAACCTGACCATACATAACTAGATAGCGTGACTTAATCTAATATAACTTCACTCTTTATTGTGGACACTGTTACAGTACAAACCTAGCATAGTGTAGAATAAACTTAATGAAGCGTGACGAAATTTGTGCCGGGTGTTGAAAAATCTCAGACTTGGTAAATGCTGGGGTTAATGAAAAAGAACCTATTTTTGATTATTAAGAACTTCATTACAAATTTGCAGTGGCTCCCTTGATGATGTCACCAGCGCTTGGGATCATTGATGTCAAGATTGCTCAATCGTCAGGCACTTTCTCTGGCGCAAAATCAATGAGCAATTTTGCTTCGGAAAAATTATTATTGGAACGTTCACCTGCTGATTTGCTAGTCCGTATGCGGTTGAATGCGAACTCCGTGATGGAATCGGTACGTTCGAGTTCTAGGGTGTTCGAAATATTTCGAGTGAGGGGGAACATTTTTGATGACTTCGCAGTTTTATGTACTGTATTGCTGACCAGACCTGCGAATTGTATACCGTGCAATTCTCCTTCGCAATAGATAGCAGTATTATTTGCTTATAGATTGTGACTTTAAAGAGTGAGAGTGCCGGAGTTCACTCTCCGAATAATATAATTTTTGACTAAGCAACTATGATTTTTAGTAAAATTTGTGTCCCGTATCAATATTGTAGCGTGCAGGAGTGTTCTCGAACTTGATGGGGATATTCTCAGCATTCTTCGAGGAACTGGAATATCTTCAATAGAAATAAGAACTATTCCCTGTGGTTATGGCTTTACTTCAATGTTTTTCAGCGCCCAGTAAAGTTTCCCGCACTGAAGAATGATTGATCGGATTTCAATTGGACTTCTTTTTTTTTTTGTAGATCCCAGAGGCTTGTGAACCTGTGTTTGTAAAATAATTTTTAACCGAGAACATTTTGTAAAAATAATTCTTCTAGCCTCGTTTTTATTCCAAGATGGAGCGTAATTTCTCTTATTCATTCTGTCCCTGGATGAAACCCAAAAATATCAAGTAGGTTCTCCATGGGAGAGCGACATTTTTAAATTTGGGTGAAAAGGTTGAGATATTTGTTCTCATTTTCACTGAACATGCTGCGGAGAAAAGGTTGAGGTAAAACAGGAAAGGTACAGTAATTCAACAATACTTGACAAAAACATTGTGCTGTAGTTGAAAATCACTCCTGTGTGAAAGATTCCTCGATACGTGCAGGAAAATGCAACCCAATTAGATTTCAAAGAAAGCTCATCAGTCTTTGTATATGAACATCTTCTGCGCAGTTTTCAAGTATTCGGACAGACCTGGAGAAGTTGGAGACCAGATGCCAGCCTTCTTGTGTTGATAATCCCTCAAGTTCCATTCCACAACTTGTGGAACGAGAGCGCAACATCAAGATGCGGTTGCAAACCTTGGAAAAGCGACTGCTGAAGAAGGAACTTGCACCTGTGAAAGTTCTTGCCAAGAGACCGCATGCATCCGAGTGTCTTGATGCTTCGAGGAAACCGAAAATTCCTCGTGGTTTGTCCGAAATTCAGAAGTGATCCATTCCGATACTCATTTTTCTCAGTCAACCAAAGTATTTGGTGAATTGTTTATAGACTTTGTGATTGTTACAATTGGTGATTGCTATAAAATGCCCGGAAAAGAGCCCTTTTCATACACGGCGTGTCTACATTGAAAGTTCTAATGATTCGAAGTGGTGATTTATGTACATAAATCAATTGTTGCCTCCGATTTTACCAGAACAAATTTTGAGACGTCTTTTCGTGGATACTCGCTTTGAGCGGAATTTTTGTTGATTATGGCGGAACCTGCTACAATGGGAAGAAAACTGAGCGAACTGCGCGTTATCGATTTGCGAAGTGAGCTGGAAAAGAGGAATCTGGATAAGACTGGAGTGAAAGCGGTGCTGGCTGATCGTCTTCAGAAAGTAAGCACGATCATGCGATCGCTAAAAATGCATATACCGGTATCCACCTTTTATGAAGAGCTGAAAAAGCGTTAAATGAAAAAAATTTGATAACCTCAATTTTGTGAATTTTAGAAGAAACTTGAGTTTTAATCGCGTCACCGTGAAAGGGTGAAGAGTTTTCCTTCACTTTTTGTTATTTTATTGAAAAATGTGGGGTTCGTCCTCTAACTCGGCACCTCCGAGGCTATATAATTTATTCGAATATCGCCCAATATTTCCTGATTTCCCCCGTTTAATATGAAAATAAGTTTGCTTGGGCTGTTATTGTTCCAGTCAATTACTCATGAGTCACGTGTACAGGTATCACGGTTTAAGAAGCAAGGCCGGGTTTTGACAGATGAACCAATCGCAAAGTTAGCATTTTTCTCGTCCTACTTCATACATGTGATGTCTCCTAAATAACTTTCGTTTCACGGTGTGTAAACGTGAATTCGTGGACATCTTGAAATCTCGATTCGTAGCGAAGATCTGCTCAATATGCGTTTCAAACAATTTTCTCCAGGAGTATTGAATGCATATGGATTTTTGCAGGCTTTGAAAGACGAGGGTGTTGATCCAGATGAACACCTTTTCGAAATTGAAGCAGAAGGAACGCCGAAGCGACACGAAAAATCAGGTAAATTCTGCATTTTCCGCACGAGCGAAACTAGAAAATGATCAGTACTTCGTTTTTATTTTCAGGCTTGCAAGACAGCGATACGGATAGATCAGAGTCGCAGAACGGATCTGGTGACAGAACAGCTGAAAAAGTGAGTTTACTGTGGAGTTCAACTAATTCGCCTCGGTGCGAGATTTTTTTCTGATCGAAAAATAGTATCTGTATTTAGACTTGCAATACTGTGTTGAGACTAATTTCTAAGCTCTTTATCCTAGAGTTTCCTCTTCCCATTTTCCAGAGGTGGATCCTCAGTGAATATCGTTTTCAATGAAAGATTTTTGTTTGAAATTTCGATCTTAAAAATGGTTGTAGCTCTTGCCGATTTACAAAAGATGAAGATAAAGTTATCTAGGAAAGATAGAAAGTCTGCCCTGCAAAAATCTATGAGAAATATTCAATGCAATCGCAAAATATTCTTAGAGAAAAGAATCTCTGCTCTGTATTTCCTTTTCGAGAAATTCGTTCGGAATCCTTTTTCAAATTCATCAGTAATCTCAGACAAATGGCTCATAATTCTATTCGACTCATGTCATTTTCCTTTCCTTGGTTCATAAGGAACATTTCCTGTCGTAAAACCTGTCGTTCAGAATCGTAATTGATCATTTCGTTGATTGTTCATCGTTTCGAAACTTCGCGGAAGTTCAGTTCATCATATCTGCGCCAGGAAAACTAAGCATGTTTCCTTTTAATTTTCAGATGGAAAGCAATCGGTCTGACGAGGAGGGACTTGATGTGTCTCTGGAGGACACGGATTCGCTGTTCAAGGAGGCTGAGGAGGTAACTTGATTTGAAGTTCTCTCAAATGTTCCTTGTTCTCATCCCTCTCTTTTCTATATTTCCAGGGCGACATGTTCGAAAGCGACAAAAGTGAGTTCCTTTATTTTTTCTGGTAGTTAGTAGGGTGTGTGACTTCGTACAGAGTGGCCAATACCGATGCAAAGTCTGCGAGAAATGCCGGAGTGGCTCCTGACAAAGCATATCCTCACGGAAAGAGGAAGCCTACAGTACTTATTTGGGTCTGAAGAGATGGTTATCACAAGAGGAAGGAGTGGTGGAAACGGAAATGGAAACGCATTTGATCGACACGCCTCGTGGGAGAACAGACAAATCGTCTTGGTATCTAATGGATCTAATCGATGCTGTTTCAAGAGACGTCGAATCGAGGATGACGGTATCGTCGAAAGTACTGGCGAATTCCTGACGATTTTACGACGATGAACATGCAAAAAAAAACCCTCCGACATCCGTGAAGCTTTGGTGCAAGTCGTTGCCGTCTGTCTCTGCGCAAGGCTGGGGGTGGTGTTTGAAATTGTGATGAAAAATTTGGCAATACAGAGAGAGAGACCGGGAAAATGATGGCGGTGGTTTCGTTCGCTCCCCCCAATTTTCCCCGGGGGGGCTTTCTCTTTGTCTTTGGAATTTTCAGACGCCACAAGCAGGCGTGAGGAGGAAATGGATGAGGAGCGCGAGGACAATGACCAGCAACAGCGGCGTGCGCGTGGCAACGGGATCGCCGCCGACGCCGCTGGCGCCTCGCCGCCGCGTCCTGAAAACGTACCCGTCTTGGCGCCGTTTACTTCCAAGGACACGCTGGACATGCACGACGCGGCGGTTCGTAGCCGCGTGCCGGAAGCGCCTTCCGACGACGTGTCCATGATTGTCAACATCGACGAGCAGAGCGTGCGCGAGGACGAGTCTGCCCCGCCGACCCCGATGCGGCCCAGCAACACCAACACTTCCGAGTCCGTCGAGGAAACCGGCGAAAAAACTTCATCTTCTGCTTCTGCGGTGCTCAGGCCTCCGAAAAGGTTCGTATCTGCTCCTAAAAAAAAAGCGTTTCCTGTGTGGGGAGGGAAAAAGAAAGAAAGAAAGAAAGAGAACGAGGAGGAAGAGAACAGCAGGAAAAAATAATCTCTCTCCGCATTCGGTTTGCCTTGTCTCGTCATGCGTGTGTGTGTGTCGCTCTTTGTAAATCTTTCGCAACTCTTATTGCGTCCCTTCTTCCACTCCACGTCGGACTGTTGCTTGCTCGCTGGTCTGCAAGTCATCGGAAGAGTACTGTATTATCTTACTGCAGCAAGTTTTTGCTTCACTTCACTGGACTGAGAGAAATCTGTTGCTGGTGGCGCTGTTTCAACGTGTTCCTCAAGTCACTCCTTGATTGAGACCCGGCAATTTCTTTGTGCTTGTGCTTCAAGACCATCGACACTCGAAAATCTATTTTCGGTGCCACGTTAAATTGAAGGGACCCTCGAGGTGAATTTCATTCATCTTCGTGGAACATCTCCTTGTACCGGAGTACAACGATTTAGCCATTTAACGGTCGCCTCGGGTAGAACCCCATTCGGATGAAGGCGTAGGACAAAGGCCTTTTTTGCCTAGCACTGTGACCCCGCTTCAGATAAAAGTCCGCGAGCCAAGTGGTTATCTAATTTCTGCCTGGAGTAACGGCCTCAGCTTTGGATAACGACTCGCCTGCAAAGCAATCAAACGTCTGTCGATCAGAAAAGAGAGGAAGTTAGAAAATGAAATGCAGCCGCCAGCCTTCTACTTTTTGGAAGCGTGGGGGTCATTTTTATATCTGGCTGATTTTTGAGTTTTTATTTTGTGATCTGGAGTGTTTCGTATGCTTTATATATATATTTTTTAGGAAGTTATTCCCTATTTTTATGGCTCAGCTGATTTTATCATCAATTTTCTTTACGATGACGTTACTCGGCTTTTACGGATAGTGACCTTTTAGTCGTAATGGATGAGGCCTGTTAACTCGAGCACTTCTGTCACGTGGTCGACCCCACTCACGAGGGCTCTCTGTATGCTACGATTTTGTCTACAACAATTTTCTCTGTGTAAAGATTTTTGTGAAGTCGCACAGGGGTCTCTATTTATATTATGGAGGCTCTCTGCAATTAAATTGTCTCTACCACGAATTCTTTTCTGGTCCCTGAATTTCGTCGTAGAGAGTCCCACCTTCATTGATTGTTTTTGTGGACAGTGGCTTTCACTCTCTGGGTGAATCTCTGAATTCTAAAATGATTTTTCGCTCAAAATCGCCCTTGGTATTTCAATTTGGTTTCTCAGGCCGGGAAGGGACCATGGGACAGAAGAAAAGTCTCTGCGGGCCAGATTCGGCCCGGGACGAAAATACGGCCCGCTCGCCGTATTTTTTACAGCACTGGACTATGGGGGTGTCGCACCTTTTTTTTTTTTCAAGCCGTAGCTTCACTTGATTGGAAGGACTGCAAAACAGAATTGACAAGTCTATGATAATGCGGGCGATGAGAGTATTATACTTTTCAAGCGTGTTTACTCCCTTTCGACGAATGTCAAGACAGTATGATGGCAAATCCGTACAGCCTCCTGCGCATGCTATACACTACAGATTTTCGTTGCGGGTAGCTCTGCTCTTGCTTTGAGTGACAGCCAACCTGTCAGATGACTGTTACACTATTTAAAAAAAATTAGAATGACCCTGCCACCATTGTTTTTCGCGGGGATGGAGGCTCTTGTTTTGTTCTTGTTTCGTTAAGTACTGTATCTGCAGTACAGTATTATTTTGCTTTTTTTTTGAGTGCAGGTTCGCCTCACACAAAGGGTTTCGTAGCTTTTTCGGTAAAACAAAGCTATCTAAAAGGTACAGTAATTGGGAAGGAAGAAGTCGCCTCTGCAAATAACTACTGTACATATTTAGAAATACGATGTGTCTTAAATTTAAGCCTGGGGATCTCAAACTTCTAGACTTTTGAACCCCGTTTGGAATGCGGTAAATTTCGATGGCGGAATCTTAATTGAATAAAATTGTCGTTCTAACAATCTAACCTATTTTTCATCAACGTTCGTATATCTCTGTGATGCGCGAATGTTGATGAATTCTATTTTGTTTCTTATTCTTTTTATTTTGTTTGAATTCATTTCATTTTTCGCGGAGCAGCTGCTGCTTATCGCTTGAAAACTGCTCCTATGAAGAATGACCATGAAAATATAAAATTTTTCTAGATGTTCTCAACGGGACGTTGAGTCCCGTTTAGAGAAAAGACCGGAAGTCAGAAAGACTCTGCCCTATCAATCCAAATCTGTTCTAGTCGAACTCAGAGAGAGACCCACGGAAAACGTAGGGGAGTTTTTTAGTTGGTTAAACTGCTGTAGAACTTTTGTTGAGGAAAAAGGAGAAAATACCTCAAGGTAGGATTGTTCAATACTTTGGGCCTCAAAATGTTGAATAAACGAGTTTTAACAGGATCCAGAACTTGTAGACGAAGGTACACTTGCCCAATTACTCCATCACTTCCGTTTGAAAAGCATGGCTTTATTTTACTGATCTTCCTTCACCTTTCTGTATCAATAAACAAATAGGAGAATAGACCAATGGCCTCTCCGAAGTAGACATAGAGGCTTGATATGAGGAAGTTTTGGATTAGGGAGGTCTGTATTGTAGTGACATCTCATTACAACAAATCTTGTTACGACTAATTATTGTTCAGAACGCATTCGAGTATGGCCACAATATTATTTTAGGCTCGTGGATTTTTTATAATGAAGGTTTTGTCGAGGTCCGAAGTGCTTTAGTATAACAATATATACTGTATTACTGTAGATTGTTCCTATGGAACTAAGCAAAATGTCTTAATAGTTTTTTGACTTGGTATGTTTGACTCAGGAAAGTTTCACTTTGCGAGGTCCAATTGTAAATTTCATCTGTGAAGGGATCTGCTGTTAGGTTGGATTCAGAAAAGAGCTGCTCCAGTCGGATGCCTGGGAAACCTTTGCATCACCCTCGTCAATTGCCAACAGGAGCCCTTTTACTTTGAGGAACTAAGGCCATCAATTGGGTTACCACTGTAATTGGTACCAAGATTTGATACCAAACTGTTCTGGATATCAATTTAAATTTCCGTACTTGAGTGGCTCTTGTTGATGATTGTTCCTTCGCATTCCTTCCCGGCTCGTGCGGCTTTTTGCGAGTCATGCTAGGAAACGATTCTTTCGATGAAAAATACGTTCTCCGAAAATTGTCCTTCAGTGAGTTAACCGTGCAACAAGTAATGACCATAATCCGAATTATGACTCGGATTTTTTTGACAATCGCGATCGTGACTCACGAATTGAGGTCATTCTCTTAAATTCTCGCATTGAGCCGTGAACCGTGACTTGATGCCGTTCGTTTGTGGCGAATTTCGCGTGATTTAGGCCAATGTTGCGACCGTGCGCTGTTGATGAATAGCGAGCGTGCATTCGACGCGTTGTGGGACTGATCTCAGAGCAGATTCACGATTTTTCGTTCTGGGGAACTTAATTCACGCATGATGATGATGCTTCAATTTTCAAGTTTATTAAAAATTTGATTCCAATGCTCCGCTAACAATTTTTTGTTTATCGGATCCCGGGATAACGAGACGTCACGGTATTTTCTGTGACGTTCTGGTTTCGTTTCAGTTGGACGAACCTGTGAAATTAAATTGGGAAAATTCGGAATGAACACGTTGACGATTTCCCGTGTAATGAATGCATGAAATTTGGATTGGATGAAAATGATTGGCATGGAAAGAAAGAATAATTTTTAGTGACTAGAAATAAAAATAAGCGTAAATTGATTTCTGAATACGATCACGGTGCATCGCTTGCGGTGATGATTTCATTTCGCCGTGGTTGGAGAAAGCTAAATGGAAGAAATGGAATTGCCAGTTACGATACCGTGTTGCCTCGACGATTTCCCATGGTGTGAAATTTTTTCTTTCAACTGAAATCGTAAGGAAGTTTCAATCTATGCTTTATACACTGACGGCTAAAGTTTCCTATGAAACCTCTTTTGTCATTGACTAAATGAGTAAATTTACAGATTTGCTGTAATATTTAAATTTTGATCCCGCTGGACAGAACAGCGATGAAAAGTCCATTAAGATGTGTGATGGGTTCCGCAAATTTTTTTATTTTTATTTTTAAAATTATGAAATTACCTTGTTTAAAATATCCCGAGTAACATACAGCTGCATTGTGTTCAAGTCCTTGTTCAGTATTTGAACGCGAAACAAAATTTCCCTGAACGAAAAGGTACCTGTGGGGGATTTTTGATGAATACAGTGTGTCTGTTGAAAAAAACTAAAACTAAAACATTATTTAAAAAAATAAAACCTAAAACGGGTACCGTGTTTGATTTTGAAATAATTGGATTTTGAAATGATTTTTATTATTCTTTCATTCGAAGTTTTAAAGACGCACAGGCTGTTTTATTAACGCGTATATGTCTTAAACTTTCACGTTACCTGCACACGACGCGAAAACTTCAATTTTCTTTGAAATTTGTCTCTTGAATTCTGTCCTCCGTTGGGTACCTCTGACTTGTATTATGTTCGACGAACTACAAATACATTACGAGTCGTTTGTCTTGAAAAACTACGTAGCTTAGTTGAAGATACAGTAATTAGAAGCCAACTCTTGATAATGCCCGTAGTACTCGAACATTTTTTTTTTATTTTGACGAGTATTCATTTTATTGACGTGATTCCATTCTTTGTTTAAGCTGTCGAAAATGTTGATTTTTGCGCTCTGAATTGGTATTCTGGCTAAAACATTTTGGAAGGTTTCCAATCATCAACTAGATTCCAGTTTCCGAATGTTCATTATGAAGTGTTTTTTCCGTCCTTGAACCGAGAAACGAAAACTAGTTGTATCTCCATGACGTGGGAAAACAGTACGCGAAATATTTATTACGAGGAGTTTCTCAACCCAGCGATTTTTCCAATGTTAGAAAGCAAGTACGGTGCCAGCAAGTACCTTCCCTCCCTCCCCCAATCCCCCCGAAAGAAGGGAATCGAAATAATTTACCGCATGACTAACGAAGTACTGGAATGTCCAATGACAAATGCCTTCATAATTCGTCGATCGACGCGAAGTGGCGTTTTCTTCGCTCGAAAGAACCTTGTCACCGGCGGCAGGCAACAGGAGGGACTTTCTCCGTTAACTCTGAATGGGCAGAAATTAGTCGCAGAGTACCTTTTTTTTTCTTTTCTGCGTGTATCGAGATGATGAAGCACGATGGGAATGGTATTTGGCGGAAGCGGACTGGGCGGATGGATGGGCGCCCCGAGGGCCGGTTCCGACACTTCATTGCGGCTGGAATTAGGCGCCACTTCTCGCCGAACCTGAGCTCAGTTCCTTTTCACTCAAGGCTCACAAACAGCATCGGATGACGCCTTTTATTTATAACACCTTACGCATGGAAGGGAAGAAAATGGGTGAGACGGAGCTTGACGAGGGAATGAAAGTGCAAATAACGAACATTTAAATCCTTGGGACGTCATTATGTAATTGCAAGAGGAGTCTGACTGATTTCCGAGCGCCGTTCGTGGAATCATTACGATCAATTGCTTTTGAATTCTTAGCGCGTATTATAATTTTTTCTGCACGTGGTCGCTCTCTTCTCGTCGTCCAATAATTAAAAAAATCCATGAATATCAATTTAGGAAACTCTTGCTTCCTCAAACTTGAGGAAATCCCTGAACTTTCACTAGAATTAGCAAGACAATTTTGACTATCAGTAATTTATGCTGGATCATTTGAAACTCTTTGTTCCTCTTAATCACCCAGTATATTGGGAACAAATGTCACCACTATATAAGTTGATGTTGAGTAACATAATAAAGCACAGCAATCAGTCTGGGACAGGACCAGGAATTCCTTGTAGGAATTCTTAGTTTAACAGGATACATGTATTTCACAAAGATAAGCTGATGAATGACTCAGCCAACTCTTCTTGCAGCTAGGATAAGTTGGAATAATGAATAACTTGAATAAAAAATCAACTGATGAAGATGTGATCTAGATGAGCTGCTTCAAATTATATTCAACCTTCTATGGTTTTACACCTTTAATCAGGTCAAGAATTCTATAGTTGAGGATGCTACGGTGCCTGGAAGTTCCTGGCACTGCAATTTTGAGGAGGGGAATTATTTCTCATTTCCAAGAATTGATATATTAATTATTAAATGCGCAGTGTGCTTGCTCAACATGGTGATCATAAAATATCAATTCTGACGGAAGAGTTAATGATTAATGTATAGTCAACAAAATGTATTTGTCGGGAGGGTGAATATTTCTAGACAATTCAGTGGATGGAATGATCTAATCTTGAGAAATCTAATCGCTTTCATCTTCAGCTACGAAGAAAAGTAGAAGAAGCGGAAAAAATAGGCGTGAACTTGAGGCACTTCTCGCGTAAGGCTGAAATCTAACTTCGCTAGTTATTAATGTACTAAAAGTTTAGTATTTATGTGTGCGAAAAACGAAGCAGTAATTCATCAGCCTCCGAGGAATCTTGATCACATTTTACGGGTAAACAAAAAGTAATTCGCTAGGATGGGTTCGTGAGAAAAAGTGTTGAGTTGCATGTTGACATCATTTGGGTACAAACCATCCCACTGAACCAATAGGTATTTTTCACGCAATAAATCCAAATATTGCATGCTCCAAAAATTATGATTTTAACGGTGTATGGTTTTTGTTTCTCCCAATATTGTATTATACATTTGGATCCTCGAAGCATTTATTGATTCTATTTTACGACTGGAGGCAAATCTTCTCGGGGAAAACCTTGTGTCCTTCGCGTGGAATATTTTTGCTTAGTATTCAAAGTTTTTTGGGCGCATTTCACGGGGAATCGAAGTTTCCTTTATAAAATCTAATTAAAAAAAATCTGAATTCATTCACGAAACGCGGATCGTCGTGAACAAAATGGTTTAATGTAGAACGGATTCAAAGTAGCATTCGACACTCGAAAGGATTTAGAGTCTCAGCACTTGGAGATAATCTCTTGTTCGTGAATAAAAGTACGGTCTACTTCCGTTGACGTGGAGTGGACTTCAAACGGAAGTACTGTACCAGTAGTGAAGAAAGCGTCTAGTATGTCTGACTGACTTGAATACTGCACTGTATGGAGAAACTCATGCAGACTGAAGTTCACCTACCATGCTCTGATTTACAGTACGGTACAGTGCATTAACTTACAACCTTCGAGAAATCGATGGCGGAACTAGAAAGCGTTTCCTGATGCTGATTTTTTTTTAAATAAGTCAATATCTCTTTCGGATTCAAAGTTTTTTAAAGGGTGACTTCAGGTCGTGTCGGGTCATCTCAACCTTCGAGAAATCGATGGCGGAACTAGAAAGCGTTTCCTGATGCTGATTTTTTTTTAAATAAGTCAATATCTCTTTCGGATTCAAAGTTTTTTAAAGGGTGACTTCAGGTCGTGTCGGGTCATCTGTTTGAGAAGCTCCGAAACCGGAACGAAAGTGCCGCGTCGAGTCTAGTCCCTGATTCTCTCTTCTCTTTTTCGGTGTCTTCACGAGTGTATTTCCGCGTACTGCTTCATGTGAAACGTGACCTGCTTGAGCATGGCCATTCGGTCTGTGTGTGATTGAAATGTCATGGTTGGGTCGGGTTCAGACAGAAAACTGGGAAAACTCGGGCTTCGTGTCCTGCATCGTTATGCGGGGGTTCTTTTCTTTCGGCGGGAAGGCTTTTTCAATTGTAGAAAATGTCCAGCATGCGGGGAGGTTAAATGTTTCATATTATTATTATTACTTCCTCGAATTGTTTGGGATTTATCATTTGGTGGGAATGCTGGTGATCAGTAAATACAGTGAGACCCCCACTTGCGGACAATTCGACGTGGGGACATTTTAAATCAATAAAAAGGCCCGACATATGGACACTGACTCAACATGCGGACATTACATGATAAAATTACCACTAAACTTCAGGAAAATTGACTTTTATTGGGCTTAATTGCAAGGAACAAATATTTCCAACCCTAACATCTATGCAAGAAAAATTCTTGGGTATTTCTCCCATCATTTTCCCATGCATTCAGCTAATTAAAAAAATTACCTATGACATAGACGAACTATCTTCTCTTGTGACTTGAATGTTATTTTTACAGATGCCCACATTTAAATGTACTGTGCAGAGGTACATTATTCAATGCTCCAAATGTTCTTTTTGAGTTGAAAAGATATTCACTGAATCAAATTCAAGTGGCAAACAAGTTTTTTTTTCATGGAATTCTGAATATTTATTCAATAAAACACCTATTGAAAATTATGTAATGTACGTCTATGGAAAAACAAGGCTCAACTTAGGGACACTCTTGATGCACCAATCATGTCCGCATCTGTTGGTCTCCCTGCATATATATATATATATATATTTTTTTATTTTTATTTTTTTTATCTCACATTCGTGTCACGAGTTCTGAGCTTGCTTGAGTTTTGTGAACAATTCGAGGTCTCAGCTTCCCTATGGGCAGAAAATATGGCTTTAATACCTGAACTTAGCTCTGAGATTTGGATGGAATGTGCGTTCAATTCCGTGACTGAAAGAGATTGCAACTTGAAAAGCTTTTATCCCGAGGACTGATGAAACTGCTGATCCCGGATATGACAGCAGTCCATTGTGCTAATGCTCCACTGGAAGGAACGTATTTGAGAGCGAAGGCAGTAATTGCGAAGTGGGGGTTTCCGCAAGTGTTGACCAGTTTTTGAGACGTTTTATTCTGCGAGAAAATCTGCTTCGTATTTTAATCGCGAAGGGAATCGATATTTATTTTTTATTATGATTTTTCAAACCGTCCTTTTCTCATTTTCTGTTGTACTTTTTCTTATTTTCAAACAATGTTATTCGATTTACGAGTGACACAAAAAATACGCTGCGCCAAAAATATGACGCAATGATGAATGCGGTAAATTCACAAAATGCATTGTTGAATTTGTTGTTCGAAGAACTTCGAGTCAGTTCGGCTCATTTTACCTCTTCTTGAATAAAATGCTGCGCACGCACTTTACTACGGCCCAGATTCATGACGTTTACGATTTTAAAATCCCCTTCGTAAAGCCGTTTCAAAACATACTGAACGCTTGGGTAAGAAGACGCGGAGTAGACTATCGAGTTATGAATGGAGAAATGCGCATATTTCGAAACTTCCAGCTTATTCAGAAGGAAATCAACTGCAGGTACAGTATTCAGAAGTGCAATTGCATTTGCTACTGTATTTTGTACTATTATAGATTGGCGAACTCCCAACAGAATGCCTAAATGTTTTACAGCCTTCCTGTTCCAATTTTTTTTTCGGTCTTGTTGAAAATTGTCACACTGGGTTTGGTGAGACATCCTTCTCAGGCTTATAATTGAAAATTTCGTGAAGTTCCCTGTGAATGTTTTAAGACTTGGGCATTTTCCCTGGAATTTTTAATTATGTTTCGAGTACTTCTAGTACTGGAAGTTTTGATTAATTTTCGGGGGTGAATTTTTGATTATTTTTCTAGTACACTGCATAATGAGTANCATTTTTGGAGAAGAACTTATTTTACGACGCGTGCGTGAAATGATGCCGGGTCTAAGTACTGCAAATGCTAAAATTTTAGGGGAAGCATTTCGGCAAAGTTTTGTATGACTTGCGAACCCATTCTTCTGCGCCCGTAGGCTATCGAGTTATGAATGGAGAAATGCGCATATTTCGAAACTTCCAGCTTATTCAGAAGGAAATCAACTGCAGGTACAGTATTCAGACGTACAATTGCATTTGCTACTGTATTTTGTACTACTGTATTATAGATTGGCGAACTCCCAACAGAATGCCTAAATGTTCTACAGCCTTCCTGTTCCAATTTTTTTTACGGTCTTGTTGAAAATTGTCACACTGGTTTTGGTGAGACATCCTTCTCAGGCTAATAATTGAAAATTTCGTGAAGTTCCCTGTGAAGCAAAATTCTGAACCCGTAAAAGGGACCTTAAAAATTAATACAAAGCTCATGAAGATCATGACCTTCAAAACTAATTAAAAGCCCCCACTTAAAAACTAATAAAAAGATCATGTGACGTATTACTCATGTGAAAACTTTCCGTTTATGTCCGTTGTTTCTACTCATTTTTATATGTACTAAAAATTAGTCTAGTCGGTAGTAATTAAACCCTTTCAATCACGATGACAAAATATTTGTTTCAAAAACTAATGATTTAAAAAAAATTACAAGGCGCGAGAAAGATAATTCGCGGTTCGAAAAATTATTCCACTGCCTTGACACATTTTTAGTTTACTGTGAAATGAGTGGGAAATTATGGCCATGATGGGAAAGTTTACGGTTGTCATCATG